GAGCTGCGCGCGATTCATAAAACGATGTCACATTGCAGACTACCGATCCCTGCGCCACAAGCGGATTGACCTTGTTTGGGCTTCACTTTAATTGCATTGGTGCGGCGGTCGTTCCGGGCACTCCCCTTGTTCTAGTACGCTCTAGTTAAGGTAATAATTGAGTTGTGGAACTGTACAGCATCATCTGGTACTAGTAACCTCTAACTGACAAGATACACACCACTGTTTATTCCAGAAATACCTTAAATGCTCGAAATTTTTAAATTTATCCAAATGACCTATTCCTTATTGCAAACAAGCATTTCAAAACCTGAGCGCTGTCACGTATGCCGTATCTGGCAAAACTGGGATGGTGGGTCCACTCAGAGATACTGCTGCTAAAGAGTCCGTTATTTCGTTCAAATATAATCCGTGGTGGCCTGATACCCATAGCAAATGCACTTTTTACGTTTTCGGTATCAAATACCGAAACGTATTCATCAGCTCTACATTTGCTGCCACAGAAAGTCCATTACATACTGATAACAAATCTGCAATGATCACTGCTAACGATTCGCTTAAGGGCAATTCGCGTAGGGCAAGAACAATAGCCAATAATTCTGCATTCAGTACAGGGGTATAATCTGGGAGTCGGATCGAAAAGAACGAGTCAGAAGAAGGAGAGAAGTTGACGACCCCAGCCTTTTGTTTTGACACAGATGCATCAGTCGTTATGATATTGGTTATCTCCGGGTGAGCTAGATAATCTGCTAACTAGTCATTTAGGTATCTATGTGCCGATTTTTTCGCGTTATGAGGAAATATGAGGAAACCCATTCCAAAAGCTTGTTCTTGTTCCCCTATTAACTGTGGTGTAGCCACTTCAGCAACAATTCCTCATCGTCGTGAGCCACTGCATGAACAATTGAAAAGAAATTACTTGCTAGTGTTTAGCGGATACCACGCTTCTCAAAAGAATGATGAAAAATAAAATAGGTAATGCTGACCTACTGCCCAAAAGTTTAATAATAATGCCCTAGTGGGTATCAAGCAAGTGTGCTTGCAGTATTTAACGAATGAGTGTGTTGAAAAGGCCCTGAAAAGGTGCTCTTCTAGCTTTCCCTGTGACTGTGCTGCGCCTTCCACACGAGCCTGGGTCTTTTCTTAACATAACTTCGGTAACTTGAATTATGCCAATGCTATATTTAGAAGGCTGATTAGAATTAAAACAACATTATAAAATAATAATGCAGAACAGCCGCCGCAGCCTTCCTCCATGAAAGAGAAAGACGACGATGATTGCTGGTTGTTGATTAATTGGCGCCATCTTCTTCGCTAAGCTCTATGCATCGCATATAGTTTAATAAATAAGTTACTCGTAACATTATTGCTGATGATGCCTTCAACCTGCCTATGTTATTCAGACGATGTTATCATTTTCTCACCCAAATTCGACTCCTATCTCGATTGTTTAACGGCGATTCTTGACGTTTTCCATCAAGCAGGACTTCAATTGAACTTTTCAAAATGCCACTTCACTCATGGTCAAATACCCATACTTGGCCATCTCGTCGATGACGCAGAAATCCACCCGGATTCCGAGAAAATTCGCGCTGTCATGGACTTTTATGTTCTGAAGTCCACAAAGGACGTTCGCAGTTTGGTGGCATTGTGCTCTTATTTCCGATGCTTTGTTACGGACTTCGCGATTATTGCACGCCCACTCACAAACCTCCTGAAGAAAGACGCCCCATTTTTCTGGGGCACTGATCAAGCCTCAACGTTTTCCCAGCTCACGACCCTCCTTAAAACATCGCCGATTTTAGCTCATTCCGATCCATCAGCTTCAACCGATGTTCGCACTGACGCTATTGTGGGAACGGCATAGGAGCAATGCTATTGCGAAACCAACGCGGAAATGACCGCGTTATAGCATATGCAAGCCAACTGATATCTATCACCGAGCGCAACTATTCAATCGCGGAGCTTGAGTGCATGCCTCGTTCTTGTGTGGGTAGTCGCCAAGTGCGCGCATACTTATACGGGCGTCCATTCCGAGTAGTCCCCGATCAACACGCGCTCTGCTGGCTGACCTCACTCAAGCATCCTACAGCGCACCTCACACGTTGGGCCCTACGCTTACACAAATACACACTCACTGTAACGTACAAAACAGGGCGATTGCATCAAGATGCGGACTGTTTATCTCGCTACCCTGTGAAAGAAACCGCTCATACTGACACCTTTCCAGACCTTCTGTCTGTGACGCAGGTACTCAACTTTGGCCACGAACAATGCCGGGATGCTTCTCTGCGAGCCATCATTGAAAAGCTTGTGTTAATGCCTCACGACACATCTTTACAAATGTTTTTGGTCAATGACAGAATCCTTTATTGCCGCAACCTCGATCCATATGGCCATGACTTACTCCCCGTCGTGCCAGCTCATCTTCATGCGACGGTCCTCAACAAACTTCATGGCGCTCCTTTAGTGGGCCAGTTGGGTGTTTCTCGCACATATGACTGTGTACGTCGTCGTTTCTTTCGGCCTGGTCTTGCCCGTTTTGTTCGACGCTACGTCTCTACTTGTGAGCCCTGCCAGCGCCACAAAAATCTATCTTCCCTACCAGCTAGATTCCTTCAGTCAATCGATATTCTCACTGAACTTTTTTTCGAGTTGGTTTCGACATGCTTGGCGCACCGCCAATCTTTAGCTCAGGCAACAAATGAATTGCTGTCACTACTGACTATGCGACATGGTAAGCTATCACACGCGCACTTCTGACAAGTTTCACAACCGATGTGGGGGACTTTCTTGTATATGATAATATTTTAGTACACGGTGATCCACGCCAACTCCTTATTGACCGGGGCCGGACCTTCCTGTCAGCTGTCGTTGACGAAATCCTGCGTTCTTGCTCAGCCAAGCACAAGTTTGCCACTTTGTACCATCCGCAAACGAACGGTCTTACGGAGTGCCTCAACTGGACCATAAGTGACATGCTTTTTAAATACGTAGCGGCCGACCACTAGGACGGGGACGTTCATTTGCCATTTGTGACGTTCGCATATAATTCGTAGCGTCACGACATTGCCGGCTATTCTCCAAACTATATTCTATACGGCTGAGAACCCGCTCTATCCTTTCACACCTTACTGCCCTCGGTCACTGAATATGCCGGTGAAGCCATCGCACAAGCCGACCACGCACGCCAACTCGCCCGCAGCCGCCTGCAGGCCTCACAGGCGCACCAAAGACAGCTCTACGATTCCCATCATTGAAACGTGCACTTTTCACCGGGTTCCCTTGTTCTTCTCTGGTCCCCCACTCGGCGTGTAGTTTTTCTGAAAAACTGCTTGCACGCTACACTGGACCATACCACGTCGTTCGTCAGGTGACTGACGTCACATATGAGATCTTTCCAGCCGATCTAACGTCGTCTTCGTCAGCTTCGAGGAACATCTTGCATATAGCTCGACTCAAGCCTTATCACCCTCCTTCTACCGCATGCGAGTAGCTCAAGCACCGAGGTGGTGCTTCTACCGCCGGGGGGTTATGATACACAACCGCCACCGCAGCCTTGCTGCAGGAAACAGAAATATGACGAGGGTTGCTGGTTGTTGATGAACAGGCACCATCTTGTTCGGCGAGCTCTGTGCATCTCATATAGTGTAATAAATAAGCTACTCGTAACATTATTATAGTTTTCGGTTGATTGTATGAAAATATAACACTTGACAATAATTATTGTTAACAATAATTGTTAATATTTGTAGTAAACGTAACTGGTTAAAAAAATTTTTGGTCTTGTCAGTACACATAAACGGTAACATTTATCTGCTTTCTATACCAATAAATGCCAGGTCGAGGTCCACAGCTGCATATAAATTATTTTGATCTATGATGTAAGCTGAACTATTAAATAATGAATAACTGAAATCAGCAATTATTCTTTATGAATGTAATGAATGTAGGTCTGGCAATGCGTTGGGTACATATTTTAGAACGCATACACACAATTCTTATGTGAAAAGAGTTATTTTGATTTCATAAGTGGTATCTGAGATATTAATCTAGAGGTACACGGGAATCATCGGGGACGTGGTGCTTCCAGGTCTTAAAGGAGATAGGTGAGAAAAACGGACGAGATTAGGGAGGAGGAATGTGAAAGGAAGAAAAGGGTTACTTGGTAGAACGAGTCGTGGGGAACTCGACGTTTCTCCGGAAGCGGGGGTTGACCCGTCTGGCAGCCCGGCTCAACATCGCGAGACGAAGGCGACATGGTAGTGAAAAAAAAAACAGAAAGGAGACCGCACCCTTTCGAAAAAACTAGCCGTATTTTCTACTTTGATGATGAGAGAGTACAATTGTGCTGCTGCATTTTTTTCCACTTTCAGTCTTGCTACCATGGCTCTGGGTTTAGTTATTTTGTTTGTTTGTTTGGCGGAAGAAGGAGTACTAACAGTGCTGTGACGTAGTTTTCATCTGGACACTGTAACAATGCTCGCCTGTGAACAGAAGAGGGGAAAAGATAATTGCGGCAAGCCTGGTACCCAACTCGGGACGCCTCCGCGTGCGTCACCTTCCATAGCCTACCGACGTTTGCACAGACCTGTAAGTTGAATAAACTCGTCGGCTTTCGCTTTTTTGTCAGTATATGCTAATATGAAATGGCTGAGGTGGTTTAATGTTTGTGCCTCTTATTGCTTATTTATTTTCTTTCGTTGTAGTGAACATTTCTTTATTGTGAGCTTCAGGGTCTTTGTTTTGAGGAAATACATGCATGTGCAGTAAATATTGTGAAAATTGTTCACTATGACAACTTGCAAAACACAGTGCGCTGTGCAAATAAAAAAGAATTTGATTTATATGTGGAGTTTACCATCCCAAGATCGCCATATGATTATGAGAGACGCCCTAGTGGAGGGCTCCGGAAATTTAGGCCACCTGGGGTTCTTTAACGTGCACCCAAATATGGGCACACGGGCCTACAACATTTCCGCCTCCATCGGAAAGGCAGCCGCCACAGCCGGGATTCAAACCCGCGACCTTTCGGTTAGCAACCAAATACCTTAGCCACTAGACCACCGTGGCGGGGCCAAATAAAAAACAAAAAAGCGAAAGCAATGCCAACTTATCTCAAAAATAATTTGGCTATGAAACTGAAGCTACGCTTTTCTTAAGTAGGGGCCGCCACCACGCAAACTGTAATGGCCTATTTTGGAAGAAATATGATGAAGAGCATGTACTAAAATTTGACTGTCATCTGCATTGTTATCAGATAAAATTAGGAAATCATCAGGAGGGGCATTGCTTATGCTATCTACGAGAGTAGCGAAATTGCTTTCCAATGTTTCAGCAAAGGTACGATTTAGAAATATATAGAAAACTTTGGCCAGTTTTGAGCCTTGTTCGCGTCACAGAGATGTGTTTTCATCATGCAGCAGCTGTCTGACACCGAAGTACATGAGATGTGCTTCTTGATACTGAACACTCATCCTGTCTTCGTAGGTGTGTGTGAGTGTGTGCGGGTGTGCGTGTGTGCGGGTGTGCGTGTGTGCGTGTGCGAATATTTGATTGATATGTGGGGTTTAACGTCCCAAAACCACCATATGATCATGAGAGACGCCGTAGTGGAGGGCTCCGCTAATTTCGACCAACTGGGGTTCTTTAACGCGACCCAAATCTGAGCACACGGGCCTACAAGATTTCCGCCTCCATCAGAAATGCAGCTGTCACAGCCGGTATTCGAGCCCGCGACTTGCGGTTCAGCAGCCGAGTACCTTAGCCACTAAACCACCACGGCGGGGCATGTGCGTGCGTGTGCCTCTGCATGTGTGTGTGCGTGTGTGTGTGTGCGTGTGCGTGTGTGTGTGCGTGTGCATGTGTGCGTGTGCATGTGTGTGTGTGTGCGTGTGCGTGTGCGCGTGGGTGTGCGCGTGGGTGTGTGCATGTGTGTGCGCGCATGTGTGTGCGTGTGCCTCTGCATGTGTGTGTGTCCGTGTTTGTGTGCATGTGTGTGTGCATGTGTGTATGCATGTGTGTGCGCGTGTGTGTGTGCGTGTGTGTGCGTGTGTGTGCATGCGTGTGTGTGCGTGTGTGTGTGCGTGTGTGTGTGTGCGTGTGTGTGCGTGTGTGTGCGTGCATGCGTGTGTGTGTGTGTGCGTGCGTGTGTGCGTGTGTGTATGCATGTGTGTGCGTGTGTGCGTGTACGTGGGTGTGTATGCGTGCGTGTGTGCGTGTGCGTGTGTGTGTGCGTGCGTGTGTGCGTGTGCGTGTGTGTGTGCATGCGTGTGTGCGTGCGTGTGTATGTGCGTGTGTGCGTGTGTGTGTGTGTGTGTGTTTGTGCGTGTTTGTGCGTGTGTGTGTGTTTGTGTTTGTGTTTGTGTGTGTGTGTGTGTGTGTGGCTGTTCTCATAAACTCGCAGACTGTATAGGATAATAGTCACTAATACTCATATCAGACTTGAAATGGAATTGACACGTTGTATATATTCAAAGAAGGGCAATAAAAAAGCTTGGGTACTAGCGAGGGAGGTTTGTGAATGCCCCACTGCACATCAAACATCTCGCATACAAAAGTTTTACTAGACCAGTAGTTGAATACGAAGCTATAAACTGGGATCCCTTCACTGAGTCATATATTAAAATAATAAGTATTGTCCAAAAAGTCAATTCGAATTTTGTTCATTTGTTACAGTTGGCGCACATTACTTTCACTTCTAATTAAAGCGGAGCTCAGACAACTGCACAAGAGAAGAAGAATGGAGAGGCTGAATCTTTGTTACCTCATTTTCTACGACGAAACTGGAATTAGCGAAACCGTGCACATTGACAAACAAGTGAACGTGCTGCACACTCGTATCATTCAATGGAAGTTGTAGATTACAGTGCAGATACATTAAGGTATTTTTTGTTCCCAGAACTACGCATCAGGGGAATTGCGTATCACGCAATATTCTAAATTGTCCAACGATTGATTTATTTCTAAATGCTCTCAATAACCATTAATAAACTGTGTTTAATATCTTATTGCATAATCATGCACCCCAAAGATACGCAATGCTTCGCTTTGTATCAGTATGTTTAAGTCAGCAAAACTAGGCCACTTGTTGGAAAGTTTTTTTTTGTTTTTGGCACATTGTTACGAAAGTGTTGACTTGTATAATTTTTTCGCATTCTTTATTATGTTTTCCATATAAATTTTTACAATTATTACCACTGTCACTATGTTGTGTGATGATAATTATGTTTTTGCTGTAGAGACTTCTGTATTCCCATTCCTGCCTAATACCTGGTAAATAAGTCAGCAGTATGTAATAAATAAATGAATGAAAGAATAAATGAATACACAAACAAAAAAATAATAATTTGAAGAAATAAATGAATAACCTAATAAATAATAAATAAATAAGTGTTTACAAAGATAAAAACTCTTGAGTGTCCGTGGGTTTAGTGTTCTCAGTTTTCATGCCTCTTCCATGATTTCCAGTTTTCATGTATAATGATTTTTTTGCTAAATTATGAAGAAAGCAATCAGTCGAACCCATGCGTTGGCGATGAAACCCATAGATGGTTGAAGAGTTTTTCCCAGTGGCCACGCTTTTTTGTTTGTCGTGCATCATTTTGTTGCATTCTGTGGTTCATTTCGAAGAGGGGCGTTTAAAACGTGCGTGCTGTTGATTTCATGTGATCTGTCTTCTTGTGTTCTTTTTTGTGGCTTTTTGCATGTTTTTTTTCCAAAGGCTGAATCATCAACCAGAAACGGCAACTTATTTCAAATAAATGAATTAATAAGAACGCAAGTGTTTTCTTGAATTTCATCTGCTATAGAGCACCGTTAAAAACAAGCTCAGTAACCCTGCAGTGCTTGTCTGAGAATTGAGACTTTCTTCACCTAAACAATACGTGAAAGGATCAGCATACAATAAATAAACAACGGAGCAAACACTTCAAAAATAGTAATTCAGCTCACTGAAATGCTGTCCGAATGAAAAAAAGTTCATTCGTAAAACACTCAGGAGGTGCGACACCAAAGCGCTGGATAGCAGGAGTGAAAACCCCGAAAACAAAGCCCCGGAAGTGCCAGGAAATCACTCCGACCAGCCGGAGGAAAATGCCAGTAAAAAATACTGCAGCGGCGACATGGAATTGCTCCGGTCGATCGTTGTAAATATCCTTTTAAAGTACTCCGGAGGCGCCACGCAATTTCTTCGGCCAGCCGGAGCAAGAACTCCGCTATGGAGGTTAGGAGCGAAAATTGCTCCGAATAGGGAGGACGCTGAAGAACAAGCGTTTTACTCCTACCTCGGAGTAATTTCTTTTTACAATGAGATGAAATTTCGAACGCATGAAAGCGAAAAGCATCATTTGCTATGCCCTTAAAGAAGTCATGACACCCGATTTGCAACCGTAATCAGTGTTTTATGGATTGATTCTTCTATGTTCACAGGCAAGATAGCGAGCTTTCCGCGAATCGAGTCGAGCCGTTAATTTATAACAAAATATTTTTATAAACTAGCGAGTAGTCTAAGACTCAGGTAACGCTGGCGCGATCGTTAGTTGTGATGTCACGAACCGCTTTTGTGGACGAGCTGCTGCACAGTATGCATTCCGGAAGACAATCGTGTTCCTTGGTCAGCTGCACTTGCGGTCAAACTTTTCTGCGTCGTTCAACTTTCCGCTGAAACTAAATAACTTCCAGGGGTTGAAACAAGGCTGCCGCGTCACCCATGTAGCGCTTTTATATGCTGCAAGCAATCTCAGAGGTCAAAAAGAGTCCTGTGAATGTCCAATGCATATGCCGTTTGCCATCATGCGGTTAAATATTTATTGAAACTCCTCACAGGCACTGCTATGGTTGAGCGCCACACTTGCTATGTTTTACCGGCACCGAATGCAATCGACAGAGTTCAAGCAAAGATTCGGCCATAATGTGTATCTTGGGTAACCTTAGCGCCGCACTTGCATGCCGCCCCCTTCGGCCTATGTTTACATATGCCCACGCAACAACCGATGGAAATATAACAGCCCCAATGCGCAGCATTGCTACCACCACTTATCACTAGATTCAGCACAAAAAAGTCATGCATGAACGTATGCTAGCGAACAAAAGCCTGCATGCTTTGGCAATTCCACGACGCTAAGTAACACTGCAGCTCGCGAATGCAGCGTTGACAGAGCCCTGTATCCCAAGCTCGCTTTGCAACATGACACGTTTTGAATAAAGCTACTTATCATATGGCGGCAAGTCGTCTGGAACGTCTGCCACAACAGCGAGGTCGTTAGCATCTTAGTTCACACCGTCGTTGACGCTTTCTTCGTCGCTTGAGCTGGTGATGATGGAATCGAAGTCTAAATGCGCCACATACACGACGTCGTCGCCGCATACCGGTAACACATGGCAACACTTGCATTCCGCTGACACGTGTGGACCACGCGGCAAGCAACACTTGCAACACTGATGGTGTGCGGAAGGTGCTGTTTGGTAGCAGACGATGACACTGCTCACTCGGCTTGTGACGTCACGCACTCCATGACAAAATGGTGGTCACTGGTGGTGGGCGGAGTTTAAAGCCAATGAATTCTGTGGCTTAATTTGGGCCGAGATAATTTCTTACAGTCCACTTTTCACACGTGTACAAGCATATTGAGCGCTCTACCTTGGTTTTTCACCGAAAACCATGAATTCTTAGGTGACCATGCCATGACCCCTTCAATGAGATGGCCAACCTTATCGGCTTCAGACATCTGCGAGTCTACCTTGCGGAACAAAGCGAGCACGTCTAAATGTATGTGAGCTATGAATCGCTGCATGTCTGAACACGACGTGCATGCTTGTTTTGGGCGGCGCGCTGACTGTCCACAGGTCTGTCGAATAGCTCCTGAAGTTTTTGCTTGCAAAACTCCCAGCTGGTTAGCTCTTCTTCGTGCATTTCGTAGCACACATTTGAGGTGTCTCCGACATAGGAAATCATGCCGTCGAGCATGAGCGTTGGTGCCAACGCATACTTACGCCCAGTCACTCGTATTACTTCAGCCATGCTTCCACGTCAACGCCATCAATGCCAGAAAAGGTACCTGAATCATTCGGAG